GTGAGTCACTGTAAACTTTTCATAATTAACTAACAGTTGTTTTAATGAAACATAGTAACTGATAGAATTAAAACACTTAATGTTATTTATGGTATTTTATCATTGTTTACTAAAACAATTTGAACTCGTCTTGTGGACATATAATACACTTTATGTCATAAGTAGAATAACCTTAGTTATTGTATTTAAAAGTTGTCAGTAATTATATTTCTTTTACATCGATAGTAAACTTGAAAAATAAACTTAACAGTTTTCAAATTCATTTGGATATTCATACCTTTTATTCTTCACTATTTTTGTACTTACAATTTACCTAATTATTTGTATATATCCATATATACCTCAGCCAACTGTATAAATTTTACATAATAATCTAATGTTTGTTCTACTTTGAATGTTGAGATAATTGTTTATCATTTTGTATTATCTTAATTGCTCTTATTACAACTAATTGTCATTTTCTAATTATCACTTTTAAATGTTTTAATTTTAATTTTATATACTCCTATTTGTGTGATCATTATCTTTAACGCTAACTCACAAATTAACTGAATTAGTTAAATGTTTGACATGCTGTAAACAATGCCATTAAAGTATTAGTAATAATAATTTAGGTACTTATTTAACTAGCTTAAGAAAGAGCATCTGTGTTTTTTCAAGCACAATAATAGACCAAGACTAATACGGGTTGTATTTAGCTCCAGGGATTTTGAGAAACATTTGGAGATACCTTCTGAAAAGATTAATATATATGAAATAAATCCTCTGCTCAGACTGTTACTTTACGAGATCAACTGCCTATCAACATCTACCTTCACGATTATCATATCCTCATATAACTGGTATTCTCTTTGCCACTTTACATATGTATGGATATGAAGGACTAGAAACCTGTTTAGTACCATGGAACTTTATTATTTATGTGCATACTATGTACCAAATACGTATACACAGTCATATATATATATAAAAGCTCAATCTTGCAGCATCTAGTTGATTCCGGCCACTTTGCTTCACCAGAGGCCTTCTTCCACGACACAATCCATTCGTATAACTTGTTTATGTCCTCTAGAATTACCGCTGAAATATAGTTTTCTTTGGTAAGAAACAAGAATCAATAAACTTCTTTTAGATCAGAAAGGAAAGATTTACCATGTTCAAAGAGTGAGCACGTGTCATTGATGAAAAGGAGAAAGATTAATGGACTTGTAGTGACTCACATTTATCACGAGAACACGACTGGTTTAATAAAAACAATTATTATTATAACCAACTGTACCAGTGTTTGTTTTAACGTGCTTTTGTTTGACTGTGCTAATGACAGCTATTTTGTGCTTCCATTCTTATACTTACACTTCGATTGTAACTTCGCGCGAATTCGGTTACCTTCTGTAACCAAGGTTGTATCCCGGCACGATCTCGGTATCCTTTCGATGCCACGAGATCGCCAGCAAATATAACTCGACTTGGTCCATTACTTGCCTTCTGATATTTGACTTCTCGTGGATTTTATGGGTTTCTTTGGTTACGTCCAACCTTCGCCTTCTGATTTATTTGGCACGTGTTTTTTTGGTAGCGGTGTTCATAGTTAGTCTCAACTCGACGCCACGCTACAAGTTCCTTTAATTTGTGTAAAATAATAGTGATGTAACTTACTCACTTACGCCTGTTACTCTTAATGTAGCATAGGCCACCGACCAGCATTCTCCAACACACTCTGTCCTGGGCCTTCTTTTCTAATTCCATCCAATTCTTGTTCATTTTTCTCATGTCTATCTCCATTTCCCGACGTAATGTGTTCTTTGGTCTTCCTCTTCTCCTTTGGCCTTCAGGATTCCATGTAAGGGCTTGTCTTGTGACGCAGTCGGGTGCTTTCCTCAATGTGTGTCCTATCCACTTCCAGCGCTTCTTCCTAATTTCTTCCTCCGCTGGGATCTGGTTTGTTCTTTCCCACAGTTGGTTGTTGCTAATAGTGTCCGGCCAACGGATCCAAAGTACATTGCGTCGACAGCTGTTAATAAACACCTGTATTTTCTGGATGATGGCTTTTGTAGTTCTCCAGGTTTCCGCTCCATACAGTAGAACGGTCTTGACATTTGTATTGAAAATCCTGACCTTGGTGTTGGTTGATAGTTGCTTTGAGTTCCAGATGTTCTTCAGTTGTAAATATGCTGTTCTTGCTTTACCGACCCTCGCTTTCACATCTGCATCAAATCCACCATTTTCATCATTGATGCTGCCCAAATATGTAAAGGTTTTTACATTTTGCAAATCTTCTCCGTCAATTGCGACTGGATTGGTGCATTCTGTGTTGTATAGGAGAATCTTGCTTTTCCATTTGTGTATATTGAGACCTACTGCTGCTGAGGCTGCTGCAACACTGGTCGTTTTCTCCTGCATTTGTTGTTGCGATTGCGATAGGAGGGCCAGATCGTCTGCGAAGTCTAGATCATCCAACTGCATCTTAGATGTCCATTGTATCCCGCGCTTCCCTTCAGACGTTGACGTCTGATATTGACTATCTTCTCAGCTAAGCCGTAGTGTCATAGAAGCCTCCATAGTGTTGTCCTGTCCAAGCTATCAAATGCTTTTTCGTAGTCAATGAATTTGATGTAGAGTGATGAATTTCATTCGATTGATTGTTCCACAATGATCCGTAGTGTTGCGATTTTGTCTGTACACTATTGATCCTTACGGAACCCGGCCTGTTGGCCTCGAAGTTGGGTGTCTATGGAGTCTTTCATTCTGTTTAACAGCACCGATTTGAAGACTTTTCCTGGTATTGAGAGATGCCCCTGTAGTTCATACACTTTCTGAGGTCGCCTTTCTTTGGTATCTTGATCAGGTATCCTTCTCTCCAGTCTGTTAGCGCTTGTTCTTCATCCCAAATCTTGCTGAAGAGAATGTGCAATATCCTTGCAGTCGCCGCTACGTCTGCTTTTAGTGCCTCTGCTGGGATGTTGTCCGGTCCTACTGCTTTGCCACTCTTGATTTGTCTGATGGCCATGCTGATTTCTTCAATTGTTGGTGGGCCAACATTGATTGGGAGGTTTGTGGGTGCTGCTTCGATGTTGGGTGGGTTCAGTGTAGCTGGTCGATTCAAGAGTTCTTTGAAGTGTTCTACCCACCTGTTTTGTTGCTCTTCAATGTTGGTGATTACCTTGCCTTCTTTGCTTTTCACTGGTCGTTCTGGTTTACGATGATTTCCAGAGAGTTTCTTTGTTGTGTCATACAATTGTCTCATGTTTCCTTCTCTTGAAGCCTTTTCCGCCGTCGTTGCTAAATCCTCCACATATTAACTTTTGTCGGTTCTGATGCTCCTCTTCGCTTGTTTGTTTACTTCTGTGTATTCGGCTTGTGCCTTGGCTTTTTCTGCTCTTGTTCGACTGGTTTTGATTGCTACCTTCTTGTTCCTCCTTTCTTGAATCCTATCCAGTGTATCAACAGTGATCCATTCCTTGTGATGGTGCTTTTTGTGACCCAGGACCTCATGACATGTTGAAGTGATTGCCTCTTTGATCCTCTTCCAGTTGCTCTCCACAGTAGTTTCTTCTCCATTGAGTAGATCATGAAAGGCCTGGAACTTATTGCTGAGGACTATCTTGCATTTGTTGAGTTTGTCAGTATCCTGAAGAAAGGCCGTATTGAAATTTCGTGATATTGTCCGCCCCATTGTCCAGTGCTTCTTGAGTTTCAATTTCATCTTGGCGACCAGCAAGTGATGATCTGATGCTATATCAGCTCCGCTCTTCGTTCGCACGTCCTCTATGGTCCTCTTGAACGTTTTGTTGATGCAGATATGGTGGATTTGGTTTTTTTGTAGTGTGATCCCGTGAAGTCCATGTGGTTTTGTGTGTGCGTTTATGTGGGAATATGGTGCTGCCTATGACCAGCTTATTGAAGGCACATAGATTTGCAAATCTCTCACCATTTTCGTTTCTTTCTCCCAGTTCGTGTCGTTCCATGATGTATTCATATCCGGTGTTGTCCGTTCTAACCTTGGCGTTGAAATCTCCCATCAGAATGGTCAGGTCGATTGTTGGGCACTTCTCGATGATCGACTGCAGCCTATTGTAGAATTGATCTTTAGCGTCTTCATTGTAGTCGTTGGTAGGCGCATAGCATTGGATGATGTTCATTGAAATGCTCTCTTTCTTTGTTTTGAACGAGGCTTTGATGATCCTTGGTCCATGAGATTCCCACCCTATAAGTGCCTTTTGTGCTTGTTTGGACAGCATCAGTGCAACTTCTTGTGTATGTGGGGCATTTTTTTCATCATGGCTGGAGTATAACAGGAGTTCTCCTGAAGCTAGTCGTTGTTGTCCAACTTGCGTCCAATGTGTTTCACTGATCCCAGGCACCTCTAGGTTGTATCTCATAATTTCTGCATCAATTCAGAAGACTCTCCTGGTCTCCCAAATTGTAAGAGTATTCCATTTACCTAAATAAATGGTTGCTTTGGTTGTCAGAAGGGGCATCGGCCTCGTGACTTCCGAAGGAACTCGGCTTTCATCATGAGGCGTCATAGTTCATCTAAATGAAGACCTTCTGACTCCCAGGGCAGAGTTTAAATGGCTTGAATAATTTTTTTTGATTAGCGTTCTTTTAGAGGGTTAGTTTTCTACGGTATGGAGTCGCTAACCCCATGCTCAACCCTCCTCCTTTATCTGGGCTTGGGACCGACAGTAGCCCCCGGAGGGACTCCAGGCGGAGTTAATAGTGACATAATCTAATAATAAAATAACAGTAATGTTCAGAATCTTCATTTCTTCTTAAGTTTGCTATGATGAACAATAAAATGCTTTACAGACCGATGTATTTACTGATCGGTTATGATATTATTAACTTTTTTAAACAAAGCAAATCAATAAATAAAATTATATAAGGAATTTGATACGTTAATGTTTTTATTATGAAATTTCAGTCTTTCAAGAAGAATATAAAGACGAGTTTAATATAGATTATTAGTATTTGTTTGTGAGAAAGATCAGTAATTAACTATGGGATCTGCCCTTGGAATTATAATATTGATTTGCCTACTTAATGAATCAATAAAAGGTAAGTTATTATGTTTACATTACAGAAAAATACTCATTCAGTCCAATACAAATAGGTTTGAATTGATAATAAATATGACTATTTCGAAATCAAAAACAAATTTAGATAATAAGTGTTTATTTTGAAATTTTCTAATCATAAGTAGCTAAATAACGCTTTTTCCCCATAAATTCACTTGGTATTTTTACTTGAATTTTCCACTTGATGTTTAGGACTGCGATTGACCAGTAAAAAAAACCAAGTGAACTTTAACTTCACCACATTGCACAAGCATTCGGCTATCCGAACTCAATAGTTAAGTGGATAACGCGATGGCGTTTGAAGCGAACGGTACCGGGTTCGAGTCCCAGAGTGAACATTAGCCCTGAGATGCAGGCACATCCAGCTGTTGAGTCCAAAATAAGACGAAACTCGTGTTCTGGATCCCACTTCTAGCCACTATCTATCTTTGATTATAATGCTTTTTCCTTATTCCTGTAATTATTAAGTTATTAAAAGATATGTATTTAATTGATCGCGTAACATTTGTGAACTGTTGATCTGGTTCACCGAAATTAATATTTTATTGTAAGCAGTTTTTCGAACAGAAAATTGATTATTCTATTGTGCATGTAATACAATCGATCACAATCGTAAATAAAGTAAATAATACAATGCACAATCAAGTATAATATTGAATTACATAGTTATCCATTAAAAATTGCATACACAATAGCATTTTAAAGTTGATGCATACCGGATAATGTAACTTGCTTCATAGGAGCATTCACACTAAAACACTTTAAACGAGGCGTCTAGTCTTGGTACTTAATCTTTCTGCCTCGACATTACAAAAGGAAGAGTGGAAATTGTTGTTTATAGCTTTACCGAATTACACGATGTTCAGCGTCGTGCATAATTTCTTAAATTGAAATTTCGCTGACTAGGTTTCTTTAAAAATACTAGAAGACAAGTAGCGAATCCATAATCAGTCTAAACGCCTCTTTTTTTTCACTTCTGTGTAAAAGTTTTCCCATTAATCTTGTTTATTTTTCAATTTTCATGCGATAATTAAAACCTGACGAATAACATGTCCGTCATCAAAATTTACTGAAAGAAGTAACTCAAATAAGTTTTACAGAACGATAAATAAGTTGTAGATTGAAAAAATCAGTAGTGGGATATAAAACGCGACAATTAAGATTACTAAGTGAATAAACTAATCAGCGACCTTATTTTTTCAGCGTCCGAAGTTCCGAGTAAGTGAAAAGCTATTTTAAACTTTTATTATTATTATTATTATTATTATTATTATTATTATTAATGTCTTCTTCGCTTCACGATAGTTTAAATTTTACATTCATTGTTTATAACTATGTTGAATATTATTACAATCGAACAAAACGGTATTATAATCAACTTCAGGAAGAAGACAATTATAACACATGAAAATTTATTATGCACCGAAAGCGGGCCAAAACCATATCTGACTACCTTGAGCTTTGAATATTCAGTTATACTGATAAACAGTGAAGTTTGAATAAATTTAATTGATTAGTACTATGCATCAATTATTTAACAAAAAGTAGAAACCCAGTCCATATAATAAAATTATACTTCTAAAGCCAACCAACGTAATTAATTTACAGAGTCACATAATTACTCATTTCTAACGCCTTCCTCTCTTTAGTTGGTTAAATGTTGGTAGGTCTTTGTGAGGAGTCAACCGAGAAGTTAGTTGTCCCCCATCATAACGATTAGGTTCTCTTTAGGTGGCTGTGTGGTTGACGCTCAGGTTACTGTTAGTTTTATATTTTTCCCTTGGATCTTCCGTTAATATTTCTCCTGTAAAGTCTCCAACCTTTAGTTATTGCTATTATACTTGCACTACCGTCTTTCGACGTGACAAGTATGTCTTGTCTGTATGAGTCATCCACTTCCACTGTAGACATGACTGTGACTGCTTTTATTATTATTATTTACTATTATTATTATTATTATTATTATTATTATTATTATTATTATTATTATTATTATTATTATTATTAATGACTTTATTCAATATTATATTTCGGTACAATATAGAATTCTCAGCACAGGGTATTTCAACAAGTTTCTTACACAGAAAACAGAAACAAAGACAAAAAAAGTTTAAAAAAATCTGAAAAATAGTACAACATTTAAAATTAAAGTCATGTTAAGAATGCAGGTTATTGGCTAGGTTAACTCTAACAACCTGTTCGTCACAGAGTATATTTGCTAGGTAAGGTATTATAGAACTTTTATACTTTTCCTTGCGTGCATGGATTTTAATGTAATTTACGTCTCGTTCTACCAGAAGACATACAAGGAGAAAGATAAGAGTGAAGGGGATGGCTAGTATCTGATAAAATAACACCTGCCAGGAGTTTGCATGATTTTAAATGTCTATCCACAACCATATTAATTATGACCTCGAAAGATTCACCACACACCTTGCTAACTGCCTTCAGCACTCTTCGCAATACAGCAAAGTCTTTTCTCAAAAGTCCGGGAGAGAATAATGGAGAACAGTAAAGAATAATAGGTAATATACAGGAATTGACAAATTGTAAGGGTAAATGACAAGTAATCCCAAGAGCATGCGATCTCTCTATGTAGTAGGTCAGACGGAAAACCTTCTTTGATAACAACAAGACGTGGGAAGACCAAAACAGATCAGAGGAAAAGGTGACACCAAGATAATTCACCTTCGACACTGTGTATATCAAAGAGTCTCCGATGGAACAAGCCTTATGGGATCTCAAAATAGTGTTTAGATTCCGTTCATGTCTCATACTAAAGTTAACAGCTTGACATTTAGACAGATTAAGTATGAGACCATTACCAACAGACTAACAATCAATACGAGACAAAAACTCATTCATTTCTATGGGATGTAAAGAGGAAGAGATAGGCAGTTCCACACGTCAATCGTGGTCCGGAACTGTAGAAATCAAGCATTCATACTGCTTCGTTCTGGTGGAAACTTCTTGTTTTGATACAGTTGTTTAGTTATCCACTGTCGTTATTTATTTATTTATTCTATCTTGATACCCTGTAATGTAAAGTACTTCGGATTTTTTTCACGTAAATATATCTTTTCAGGTGATATCCTGTTCACTGTTACTTGAAAACTGCAAACTGACATTTACAAGAACAAGAGAGAATGCAAAATTGAGGGCGAATAAATATTTTATTCATAGTCCAAACATTTTGTAACTCTTCTACATAAACTTGCTTGTACATAGATTCTTACAGTGATTTGATGATTAGTCATCAAGTGATTTTTCCCTGAATCAACATAAAAATCTACTGAATATTGTGGTGCATGAATAATACAGTAAACTGATGTAAAGAGACTGGCACACTGAATAGACGTCACAGTAAACTGAAAAGACTGTTATACTAAAGAATATATTACACAGAATTGAAACATGATCTAGCGCTTTTTCCTGTCCTAACATACTTCAGTTAACTCAAGTTTTTTGAACTTTCAGGAAAAACTTAAACCGTACAACAGGTGTATTCTTTATTCATCTCTGAATACCCACTATCATGAAATCCAAGGTAAAAATGGTTTCTTACCGAAATGTATGAACGGTTTTTCCACACAGCTGAAACATTGAGGGAATTTTTATGGGTTTATGGATTATATATGTCAAAACAATAGAAAGAGTTGATTTAACATTATATTTTAGGTAATATTACAAAGCGTAAGTGAAACTGCTGTGATACAATTTTTCATCCATATCCATTTTTAATATTACACACATCATTCTTGTTGTAAATCATACTCCTTGAGTGATACTCTAGTTTATCAAGGAATATCTTGAAAAATCACTTCCAACATCAGTTTACAATGTTTTAAATCACTTGCTTGATAGTCTAAAATGTAATAAATAGGTACTTAAAATTATCAGGGAACAAACTGGGATATTAATATTATTGAAGAATCATGACTACTTTAACTTTGAATAAAACCCACAACGAATTTCATATCAATAAATAATACCTTTGAGATTCTCGACAAGTGCCTTATTACATAAGAACTTTAGTCTAAATTTGAACGGATATTTTCAGTATTTATGTTTCGAGTTAGTCAGACATTAAGGAACAAGAATGTATTTGTAAAACCTCAGAGATTGAATTTTAAGTATATTCAGTCTGGTTCAAGATTTTTCGAGAAAATGTAAATAAACATCAAAATTGTCGAATATAACTGGGTACACGTTTGTCCGGTTAACTGTATACTAAATAGGTCGTCCACTCATGTTAGCAATGTTTGAAGTAAGTATTTTCTGTAGTATGTTTGAAACATGTGGTGTGTAACGAAATGTGTGTTAAGATAACAGATTGTGTGTATTCGTAAGTGGATCTGAAGTGTGAGAAGAAATTTCATTGACTATTTACCACCTCTGACTGGTGGATTTTTGAAGAAAACATACAATTATTATGTGTAATAAGAGCCAGATACATTACAGCACGCATAGAATAAAGATAAATAGATAAAATAAAAATTAATGGATGGATTCAATTTTGTATTGGTTGTTGAATCTTCTTGATGTTTAGCTCTGTAGTTGATCAGTCTGATGTTGGCATATTGGCATCCTGTGTGGATTGCTTCAATTTCATCTTAAGTCGCAAGCGTTATAAGCAGAGATGATGTTTGTATTATTTGTTGTTCAAGGTAATTGTTCACCATATATTAAGATAAACCAACTGATTAGAATAGTTGCATGTAATTGTTATTGTTCAGACAATAAGTGATAGAATAAATGGGATAAAGAGTTCAAGTTTACTCAATAATTATTAGTTTTCATGAGACAGCTAATTGTGTTCTGTGTCACGCATACAATCTGTTTGGATTTATCCCTTTGGCTATTAGTCTCTATTTGTAAGAACTAAAATTTTTAGTGGAATTCTTGTGCTATTGAAACCAATTGTATGGCCCGACTATGTTGAGTGTAATGTCATCAGTGATCTGCTTTCGAACTTTTTCATATCATCTGATGATTTATAAATGTGCTTTAAGCAAAGTTTGTGTTCTTTCACACTCGTATTCAGTTGTCGTGTTGTTTCACCCACATGTATAGCATTAAAATCACTACATTACACGAGTTTGTTGTTCCTCCTTTTGCATTGAATATTTGATTCTTACCAGTTTGGGTACTAGAGTATTATTTGTCCGAAAGAACACTTTTATATTTTGGAGATTTAGGATACTTCTAATCTCTTCTGAAATTCCTTTACGATATGGGACCACTACTGTGTTAATCCATCCTTTTAGTTTATCTTTTACCTTATCGTTTAGGCCTTCTTTCTTAATTATTCTTTTCATAAAATCCCTCGGATAGTTATTTATCATCAAAGTAGATATAATTAAATTCATTTCAGTTTCTATATTATCTATTCAGTTATGAGTTTCTGGACGCTGTTTATCAAATTCTTGGCCTCTGTTACTTTGGTGGAATGTGCATGTGTTGACTTGTAGTCGAGAAATTTCCCAGAATATGTTTGCTTTCGGAATATATTGATTTTTTGAAAAATCACTACAATTCCTTTCAACCAAACAGTCAAGAAGAGGTAACTTTTGTTCAATGGATTTGATCCCCCTAGTGAATCTGATGACGTTTTTAAACATTTCGTTTTATGATGACAAATGTATCATCTACGTAATTCAACCAGAGCTTTAGTGGAAGGGAACACTTAGAAACTGTAATCGTTTGCAATAAATGCATGAGCAACAATTGGAGAAACTAGTGATTCCATAACCACACCCATTTGTCTGTAAAATTCTCCTCGAAAACTGAGAAAGTTTTAATGCAAGCATAGATTCATAGCTTTGGTAATGTATAAAGGACCTAATGAACATCTCTTTTTTAGCTGTGTCAGAATCCAAGAGATTATACACAGTATCTAAAGCCTTCCTAAAAGGAACATTAGTGAACAAAGAGAAAACATCAGAACTTGCTATTAATTCATCTTCTTCCATATGGATAGTAGTGATGATGTCATTGGATTCACAAGAACTATTTATTCCAAATTTGTATCATATGAATTATTTGAATTATTAAAATGAAGAATTCTCCATATATACTTGGCTTCTGGGCAAAAAGAGGGAGCTCAAACCCTGGTTACAATCAATCTGTGCTTATTTCAGTATGTGAATCTATCTATTTTACAAATTATTTCAAAATATATCTCAATCATCCGTTATATTTCTGTTCTGATAGTTTACAGTAAGCTCTTTTTATTACTAAATTGCATTAATTTGCATTTATATTAAAGAAATTATCATGTTATTTTAACAGTTAAGAAGGTTCAGGTCCACAAATGTGACCGTTTAAAAATAATATAAATGTCAATTAGAATTAAAATGGACCATTTCTGACTTTATACTTTGCCTAAATATTTATAGTTTTGAGTTGATCTACCACTAAATCAGACTCGCTCGAACAGCAGTAATGATAAATACAAGAGTGTCTCTATTACTATGCAACACTTTATTTATAAACGAAATAATCTCTAAAATAAAATATTTCGAAAATATTCGTTTAAGGTACAATACTGAGTATGTAATCTGTTAATTACTACTCCATCAAATCTAATTAATCCACAACATAATGTAGACTCATTGTATGAAGTTGAAATATCTCTACAATCCTATTTCAACATAACGATAGATAAACTGATTACATAAGACTTGCATTTAATTCTCATTACGATCCGATACTTAATAAGCAAAATATTTTGAAACAGTACCGAGAAGTTTACTAAAAATATAAATCACACTTAACTGTCTAGAGGTGTTTGTAAATTTATGATATATTTGATGATTAGAAGAGTATATAGTAGTATTAATTTCTTTTACATTCGAATTTGCCTATCAATTCAACTTTTCATAAAAGAAAGTTATTTATAAAAGTAAGTTTATGTTTAAAGTGTTTTCTGAATTTTGATTCTTTAATTATTTAAACAAACAGAGAAAGAATTATCAGGTGAGCACTTAGTAATTGTCAATTACGTACTTTATGTTTGGATGATAAAATGTTTTAAAGGGAATAGATAACATTATTTTGTTGCAATTCGGGTCCTGTATAGCATCCAAGGAAGCGTATGATTCTCATCCTTTCCCACAAATACAATCAAACAAGATCGTTGAGTTGGATATGGTCCTGATCACCAGTATTGTAAGTATGAGTTACGCAAGATACCTAAAATGGTAGGACCACTAAGCTATACAATCCTCTGAGTTATCCGACAAAACCTATACAATCAAATCTGAAATACATCAAGTAGATAACCCGTTATAAATCAAAGTTAGTTGCTTGTCAAAGAAGATTTGAGTCTCCACCAAACAAGAAACACAATGCTGTTGGCTAGCAACCAGGTATTTCGATCTCTTAACCTCAGATAGTCAACTAGTAGCACAAACATTGTGCAGTGATGCTATAAAGCCTCAAGTTGCTAAGTCACTGGAAAATATGAACTATTCAAGTGTCAAGAGATGAGTGGCAGTTCGTAACAGGGAGAATCACTCCCTTCTGCATAAGAGGAGAAGTATGCGGGAAGGATTTACGTTACTGAGTACCAATGAGATAAATTCTCAATTTCGGAAAACTCGGATTACTTGTGCTTTGAGGCTCCATATGTCTAGAAATTGTTATAGAATGAAGCTTATTAAGGGTTCTATAGAGTACTCTAATCCTTTTTATTCGTACATAAACCAATAAACTAATAGAAGAGACAACACCTCAGCTTTATGGGGAGACAGTAGTACTGCATCATTAGTGGAAGACGATTATTGTAAAGCACAGTTATTTTCCAATTACGTTAGCAATGTGAGCACTGTGGTGGTGCCCTCCCTTTCTGTTCATCTAAACACTCCATGCTCACTTCTAACACTGTGACTTGTGAAGAACACGATGTCTCTGGTCTGTTAAATAAGCTTGATGTTGGTAAATCCATGGCAACCGATAAAATGCATCTTCGATTATTAAAGTATAAAGAAAGATAGATGTTGATACCTACATAAGAGGTACAGTTGGAGGGATTTTCACAAACAATTAGATACAGACGCAAAAGTCATGCAAAATGAATCCTGCAAACACAGTTATTTTCTTGGTTTTCGAATGGCTTCTTTGTTTATTGGGGTACAGTTATCGGTTAATTCTAAAGGATTTGTAGAGTCCCTGAAATTAAACTAGTAAAGCATGCAATTTGTATACAATACATACAGAATATTTGAGAAATAAAATTTATATTATAAACATATTGGTACAATTTAGATGTGAATGAAAGAGGTAAGTTAAATTATTTCACTAAATTAGAATTCTGTCGGTCTTCACCATTATTTGTGTGTTAAGATTGCCTCAAGTCAATTTCATCAGACTTGTTGTAAATAAACAACTCTCCAGTTATATTTCACTGTATTTAGAAGTAAAACCCAATGTTAGTTGTTTAGAGTAAATAGTCTAAAGTTAGTCCAGCGTACAAAGTCATTGTGCAACGTAGACAATGGGTGCTTTGATTACAGCTATAAATGCTGACTTTTGTACATCTGGCTCAGCTATGTCAACAAGATCCGGTTTTGCGAATTAAGAGCCACTATTTTGACGTATAAACAAGTCAGATAAGAAAGTGAATAATAATGCTATTTAAAACCGAGTCTGACTCGGAAAGTAAGGTGCTCACTTAACATATCATTAAACAGAAATGGAAGGTTTCTCAGTTTAAGTAATTGGAACCACAATATTTTGTTGATGGCTGCCTTGAAGTCGTTCATCAACTTTCAGTAAAGAAAAATAATTTATTGATCACCCCAAGTTTTACTGTTTGGGGATTTTGTCAGGATGATCCTCGGAAAAACAGAGTGTGGTTTGGATTACGCACAGTGGATCAGTGGTATTTAATTCATTTGAAGATAAACAGATTGATCAAACTTCAGATACCTTAGATTTATAACCGAAGACAAAATGTACTAGAAAAAGCAGTTTCATGAAGAACCGCACAACCGTAATGTTGTTCGTTAACTGAAGGTAACATTCAGAAGAACAAATATCTGTTTGAATAGTCTTTTTAATACAGTTTATTGAGTGGTCGCCAAAGATTATTTGATTTAATAGTGATATTTGGTGCTAAATGTATTTACAAGCAATTCGAATGATATTATTGTTACGAACTTCCCTTCATCCTTGAATTTAGGATGTTTTGTTATTGATGAACTCAGAAAGCGCCTAAACAGTTGGGTGCCAAGCTTGAATTTCAATCTAAATGTGTTAAGTTGAAAAGTTTAACTGTATTCTTCTTTGTGACCAGTCACTTTGTATTGACGAAAGCGACATTTTCTGTATGAATAGAATGTAATAAATAATCACCATCTTATAATACTAGAATGACTATAATAACCTCGTATTATGACAAAATAGGGTCTGATGGTAGAAATCAAAATGCTACTTATCATCTGGTAAGTTAGAGAACGTTGAACCAGACTAGTAGGGGTAATGAAATAGTTTACGATGATGACTTTGACCATTTTTGACATACAAAGTTGAGTTGATATTCAAGGAATTAATCGATTTTTTTCATTTCTTGAAATAAAAAGACAAAAGACTTAAAGGTCAGCGATAATAATTTTCATTTTATGTATTTTGAGGGCTAATAAGTTAACCATGAGTTGATAGCATATAAGCTTCAACAAAAGATAATTACTTAAATACAATCTATAGAACTACAAACGTGCGTATCAACGAATCATTCACATGAAAAAAGTGGTAAGGAAAATATTTTCGCAGGTCAATAACTAATCGATAACTTAAGGCTCTAATTAAGAGGTATATCTTCGACCACCGATCCCGGAATGCCATGCAAATACTTGTAGACAGTCAACAGTTGAAGTTTTCTATGTTCTCTTTTATTTTCTTGTGCCACATATGTTTTTGTCCCTGGGCTAAAAGTACATTAACGAAACGAAATTCGTGAAAACTTTCTAGTATTGATATCACTTCTAGGTATTTCGACGGCAAATTTCAAGTATCTTGATTATTATTTAACATATATTGTGAACTTGATTGAATTATGATTTCGAATCCCATATTAATAATTTTGAGAATCGTAAGAAGAATTTTATTTTCCACGAACTATTCTAAGCTAAACTAAATCTTTTAGTCAGGTATATTGCATTGTATTTTATAGCAATTGTTACATCAAAACGTTTTAATAACATTTAATGCTTTATATTAAACGTCTTATGTTGCTGAAGTGAATGGCTGAATTATTTATTTAGTGAAAGGTCACAAACAAGAATGGTGAATTCTGTGACACAATAATTTGTATATATATTCCTGTTCAAAGTAAAATGTACAAAATACTAATTGCAATCCTAGATTAGTATGAGTGTCCATTTTCAAAAGTTACACATTTCAAACTAATATTTGAGTTAGAAGGGGTTTTGTGAAGATTTTTAGAAATTACAATAGTTGAAATCATGAGCCAGTTGAAGCTAGACCACCATGGAAAACCTGGAAGCACTGGACGGTTGTTTCGTCCCAGTATGGGACTCCTCGGCAGTGCGCATCCACGATCTCGCCCCCTGCGAGATTCGAACCCAGGACCCATCAGTCTCGCGCGCGGGTGCTTATTCATCAGACCACTGGGCCGGCCGGCATCCAACGGTGTTAATGTCTAACTTCAACTAATCCACGAAACTGCGCCACCGTACACCATTATTTTCAGTGAGCTGATATCTCACAACAGACTTTGGTCGAACTCCACTGGTAACGGCCTCTTACTAGAACTCCAGGAGTATCTCTTGAAGTCAGTCATTAGTGATTATTGTCAGAAAATGATGAGTTCTGTGACATAATGACTTGTATATATACTCCTGTTCAAAGTAAAACGTACAAAATATTAATTGGAATCCTAGATTAGTATGAGTGTTCATTTTCAAAAGTTACACATTTCAAACTAATATTTGAGTCATTAAAACTTATCAGACTTTATTAATATGTGATGTTTTATTATTGTTTCAACTTCATAAATTAAATTTCATAAACTTGGTGATTTAAAATATCCAAGGTCATTTTAAAAAAAATCTAACATTTATCTTGTAAATTTTAAATTTAAATAGTTATGTTTAGTAACTGTGAGTAACAGTTCGTTTTTAACCGTCTTTCTAAAAAAAATTTACAAACTGGACATGCGTAACTTGGTAATGTAATGCAACTTCCGTTACATTGTGTTAATAATTATGAAATGTCTATACATTTAATGTAGTGCAGCAACAAGTTTCATTTCTGAAGGAAGGTTATGACTCAAAAGCATCATGGATCCTATCATCTGACTGATTTAATATTTCATTTCGTCAAGTCTTAAAAATCGAGTTGATCAATTTTTTTTCATAGTCACCTTTGTATAAATAAATACTTCTTCCATCCTAATAATAGTGGAGATAAATTTCATAGTAGCTGTACAGCTAACCATTTCTTATTACTAATCAAAGTTTAAAAATTTAATATTTTCGAAATTTTATTTACTTCCAATGATCAATTCATAAATAAAATACTAACCAGCTGATGAAATTCTAAATTAACCGTGACAAATACTACTTACAAATGAAATAATTTATTTATTTATTTTAACACATAGATATTGGTACAAGGAGGCACCAAATACATATGCGCCACACAAATCTCATTCGATATGTGTGAGGGCTGTGATGCTGCCCGGGTACCTAGGCCGAAGCAGGTGGTTTTCTCAGGGGTCCACACCCGGAGCCTTCGATCTGAAGGTCTGATCCACAAGGCAGTGGAACAACGTAAGGAGAAGCAGTCCCATGGTAGCCGGTGACCAACGATTGGTTCATACACCATTTGTTCCATCAGGATAGTGGAGTCCATGTGCACCATTGGTTTGGAATCAGGGTTTTCCAACTCCCCTAGGTGAACTCTCCATCAAACCGGTTAAGGCGCCGGACGTTCACTTTTCGTCCTCTCATTTTCGTAAACAACACCCCCGCCACGAGAAGGCAGTGAGTAGAACTTCCTTGGCAGAGGCTATATACGCGTGGCCATGTGAGAGCATTTCGAGAGGGAGAGCAGACTCTCCTCACTCTCGGTCGTGCCAGGGCATTTTGGGGAACAAATGAAATAAGCTAATCATAAGCTGATGTGATAGGTTTTTAATTTGCATAACAAACTGTTATGGAACCCTAATAATAGTGTTCATATATTGGAATGAATGTAAAAGTTATTCCCCTAGAATACTAAAGATTATACTGTATTTTAAGAATTTTAAATTATTGTTATTTATTTGACAGTTCAAGAAAGTAAACATCACAACGGTAAGTTTGTTCATATTTCTTTTGATCTCTTTATTGAATGAAGTGTAAATGTTGTTTTGAATAATAAATTTTATCCTTGAAAAATCACATTCATGACAGTTTTATGTATAAATGTTATTTTAGTAAGAAGCGGTTAAACTTATGTACTGAAGTTTACATTTGTATTACTGATCTCACGGATAAGTTTCTTATTTAAGATATTAGCAAAGGATGTAATGACAGGAATCAAAAAGTGATTTTGATAATTTAAATATCCCTATTTTCTAGAGTTTACTCACGAAGCATGAAATCTGAAAACTTTTAAGATCATCAGAAATATATAATAACAATACTACAGAGCCAACGTTTTATCTTAGTTATCACTCTTATTTTGAATTTTGAAGTAAACTTTTTATTGTCGAAGATATTTACCCCTTTCTAGAGGTTAAGCTTTCGTGCGCGAGCCCGATAGGTCCTGGATTCGAATCCCGCGGGCGGGATCGTGGATGCACATTACTGAATAGTCTAATACTAGGACGAAACGGTCGTCCAGTGCTTCCAGGTTTCAATGGTGGTTTATCTTTGATACTAATGTATTAAATGAAATACACGCATTCATAAGCAGAACAAGTAATTCAGTCAAAGAAATCTGTTCTAAAAATTCAATTTTAAAGCATTACACTATATAAACATAAATTTATTAATATGAAGAAAATTCACATGTCGGTTATAATTAGGTGCTTGAATACATAACAATGTTAGCTAATCTCATAAACAAGTAAATGTTTGCGCATAGTATTAATTAAACATCATATTTACTATTAATATGAAATAAATTGAACAACTGTAAATATTTATTAACTAATTATGATCAGAAACATATAGACGAAATTTGAGATCGAAAGAAAAATAATACACATGATTTTACCAAGTTGATTTAAAATTATAAAGGATTAAGCTCTCGAAAGTTTGTGTTTTCTTGCTTGTCTATTTGTAGTTCAGTTAAAGTTTGTAGTTGATATTAGGTAGTGAGTCTTAGGTGAAATTATCTTCATTTTTAAAGGACTAATTTCCAGTCTTTCTAATATGATGACTGAGAGAAGCTTGAGAATGAAGTAAAGCGTGAATGCTCTCAAGAAGCATATTATCTCGCATAAGCAAAAACTGACTTTGTCAAGATTAGTAATAAATAAGTGACTGACAAAGTAGAACTAGCGTCCTTTTAAACTATATTTGAATAAGAACGAAGCAAATACTTACAGAAAAATTATAAATCACAAGCAGTGAAAAACGAATTGTATTTTGTCGTTACTATTGTCACGTTAGCATTAAATGCACTAAATCACTTCATTCATAATACTCTATACCCCTAGATCGTGTGATAAACGAACTACCATTCATTCAATCCGAATTTAATTATTAGTAATTTAAATTCCAGTTTGTGTTGCGAATGTTCCTATCAAAATCTATTGAAGTTAATCGTGAAGTTATGAATTTTTTTTAGGACCAATTCAAGCAAAAGATTTTTTGACAGTTGTGAACCAATCTTTTAGAATGGGAATACTGAAAGAAGACTAAATTTTGACATAAGAGAGAAAAAGAAAAAAAAGACTTAACATTTCTCTTAGTATTGTTAATGAAATCAAGAATTTAAACTTAATCTCTAGCAGTTGATTAAATTTCACATTTCCTTTCAGGTGAATTTCAGCCAAACGTAAACAGGTAAACATTGACTATTTAAACTTTTTCGTCGTTCAAGAAAACTACATATAGACTTCTATGTTGATATAGTAATATGATCCATAGTAAACAATCTATTTAATAACAGTATCGCTTACATAGCCTTTATTAGTTATAAGATATTTGATATAGATTTTTATAACAAGGGACTAGCCATTTGCATGAGTTCGTTAGTTCTAAGTGATATATGGCGTAGTTTTTAACGTAAATAACTGACATTTCAGGATGGTGAAACCTTGGGTTGTTAGCAGTAATAACTTGAGTAATATAAGTTTACACTGAACCATTAACTTTTCATTGGAAATTATGCAACAAAACGTGTTGAAATGACTACAACACTTCTTTCTGTACTAAATTATATTATCTATAAACCTTATCAATATAAATTGTAGTGAGAATTACCATAGCACGATTTAAAAGGCTTATTGCGGAATAAAATTGATAGTTAAATTGATGAAACTTTTGAAATCCAGTTGCGTTTTATCTTGTGCGAATTCTGTTAAGAAATACAGATGATTGTCAAGTAACTGTTTTTTCGCATAAGTAAATAATCAAGTTTTTAAAATGTCTCAGCTTCAAAAAGTTGTTAGAAAGCCAACTACATAGTAATTTAAAGTATAAGTCTTTGGTTTTACAGTTTACTTTTGGATCTAGGATGTCCCAACATGAAATCCAGAACGAAGTACTGTGCTCAGGATCGCTAGCACCAACGGAAAGTGCGTTTAAAACAATATCAGCTTACGTTGTTCAAAAATGGTCGGACATTAAATCCGGAGAATATATTCACTGTAATCAGACTATTGTAATTAGGCGTAGATCAGTGTTGGTGAATTAAATTAGTCAAAACATTCAGCTACACGTCCCGATAAATTGTGATTCCAAATGTGTTTGACACTTATGCTTCGATCAGATTTTGAAAAAGACCTAGAGGTACATGCCTAATATTTCTTGTTAATGGATTGATAATTTTCAGGTTATTGATAAATACGAGAAACGATTGTCTATTAAGCTTACACGTTTGTAATTTGTAGCACAATAATAAGTAGAGTATGGTATGTTAAATTATGCTTTGTAACCACTTTTTATGCACTAACGAGAGTTGTTCCAACAAATTTTACAATGATAATAATTTTCCAGTAGACTTGTAGTGAATGAGAACTCCGATGGTTAAAAACAATTTACTGTTCAAGCCCTAACTAAAGAGTGTTTTAGTTAAATATGAAAATCAAACATTAAATAAATTATTTGCACATCTTTCTTAACTTGTCCTTTACATGCTTCACGATTCTTTTAATTCTGTTTTCATTACAATTGTTCTCTGTTTCCCTTCCTATTCTCTACAATTCAGTCCGCTGCTAACAGACATTCCATATTCGATTGCTACTACATACCACTTATACCTGTCGACATAAGTAGCATACACCACAGACTTGGTTTTATTTATCTACCTGGATTCATGTTTATAAGATCATAATTGAATAAACCCTTGAAAACTGCATAGTTTAAGTTAAAATTATTTCAAGCCTTTTCAGAGGTAATCTTATACGTAGAATTGGTGTGTAGCTATGATTACAAAACAGTTAATACTTTTATTTTTCTACTTTATTTTTCACCATGCGTCATAAATAGTGAAAACTATCTGTAGAAACAAATAAATCCAACATTGCATGTTCTAATGAAATTAAGTTCTGTTTGGACCTGTATTAGATCACCTTGATTCAGAATACGGCATTTCTTCACAGTGGTAACTAAATGACCGCTTAATTTGCACCATTAAGCTCTCAGTGTCAGTTGAAGTTTGTGAGTGCTACACATACATCCCGACCGTTGTTGCTACCTTGACGTGGTGGTCGGGCTTGCCTATCGTGATGAAGCAACCGAGCTATACTGGCTGGAACAATCATTCCTCAACGTCCTACCATGTCAGACAGGTCGGTTGAAGAGCGGTAAGACTAAAAGCAACAAACCCAAGGTCCGAAGGCGAAGTCGTACTGCTGACTGCAGAGAGGTGTGACAGCAGTAAGGTATTTCCCTCGGACAACCAGCATGACAGCGATGCTGCCTTCCCACAAGGAGGGGTGGGGTTAAAAAAGGTCGACCCTAAAAATGTCACGCATCACCTTACCTCACGGATTTCCGTCTCCGGCGGTAAGGCTCTTTGAAGAACGGAGCTAACACGTCAAAAACCTTCCACAAAAAGGCCGTGCGCGACCGGCCTCAAGCAGTTGTCCCTTGGGCTCTGCGGTCACGCTCCCAGGTCGTCAGGACCAACACTAATCCAATTTCCTTTTCAGGTTCCTCAAGAAATACCCTTCCACGGTGTGGGCAACCGGGAAGTGACATCAGCCCTCATACGCGTAACAGCACACGAGACCAAGTTGGTCACATTCAAATTCTTCTTACACCTCCTAATACCTCTCTTATCTCCATGACTAACCCTCCTCACGTCTCTTTATCACCTCACACCGCTAGGGCAAACGATTCGAGTACGTGGAACGCCATTCCTGGTCTTCTGAAACCACGCTCTAAACTACACGTAGGAGCTTTTAACGTACGAACACTGTGCCAAATAGGACAGCAGGCTTCCTCAGCTAGGACTTTAGAATCTCACGCCATCGATGTGCGCTGCGTCTCCGAAACGCGCATACAGGATCCCAGTAGCGTCATTCATTTGACCTCACCATGCCAAAATAAAGAACCGACTCGATTTACGCTTCGTGTATCTGGAAGCCCTGATTCTGCTTCCCGTGGCCTCGCCGGCGTAGGCATAACATTGAGTCCTAGGGCAGAACTAGCTCTCTTAGAGTGGATCCCAGTAAACAGTCGTTTGTGCGCTGTCCGACTGAACGGAACAGTAAGAATCCGGAAAGATAGGGACACTCGTCGTTGCCTCTTTGTCGTCTCTGCCTATTCTCCCACTGACTGCATCTCAGATGACGTAAAAGATGAGTTTTACAGGAAGCTTTCCGACCTCCGAAAAGCTAAGCGCTCGGATGTAGTAATAGTGGCCGGTGACTTTAATGCTCAAATAGGTAAACTAAACGATAGGGAAAGACACCTAGGTGAATCTTATGGTTTCATGGCTCAAAGAACAGATAATGGCGACCGTCTGTTGCAGCTATGCTCAGATAACCGCCTGTTCCTTGCAAATACTAACTTTAAGCATAAGGAAAAACATCTTTTAACATGGCGACCCCCTAATTCGTCCCAACGTTGGACCCAAATAGATCACATCGCTATCAGTCACCGGTGGAGCGGCTCGATAGAAGACTGTCGCTTATTCTGGAGCACATGCCTAGATTCAGATCATGCTCTAGTGCGAGCGCGTATTTGCTTGCGTCTTACTGGACGAAGGAAAGACGCTGCAAGGAAACCTCTTAGGGTCCTACTTAATCATAGTCAAGCTAAGAGTATATTTCAGGAACAACTAGGAAAACAGTTAGGCAGCCATGTATGTGATGCCCACTCCGATGCAGCATGGAATGATATCCGAAAAGCTGTGGAAACAACAGTGATATCTGCTAGTAAGGTAAATCAGAAGGTTAGGGAGCAACACTGGATCTCAGCAGCATCTATCGCACTTATAGATGCTTGGAAACTCATTCCACCTGACTCTGAACATAATGAAGCGCGGAGTCAGCTTAAGCGCAAGCTGACAAGAAGTCTACGCAATGATCACGAACAGTGGTGGGTAGCGAAAGCAAGAGAGATGGAAAAGGCAGCGGCAATAGGTAATAGCAGACAATTGTTCAGACTCGTTAAGGAAACCGGAATTAGGAACCCGACCGTTAGCGAAACAATCTCAGAGAAAGATGGACATATTATACATTCTCAATCCAGGAGATTGGCCTGAACACTTTAGGGATCAGTTCAGCTGGCCTTCAGCCACACTTCGGTTTCCCACGATTTCTAGTCAACCTGAATGGCAAGTTAATGTAGGTCCTCCGTCTCTTTACGAAGTTGAAAAAGCCATAGGAAATCTGAAACGAGGGAGAGCAGCAGGCCCTGACAGGTTTACTCCTGAGATTTTTAAGGATGGTGGTCCAGTATTAGCAATGAGATTAACCGAGGTCTTAGGTAGAATTTGGGAACTGGAAGTAATCCCATCTGACTGGTCTCAATCACTGATTGTGCCAGTCTATAAGAGAGGACAAAAGTCCTCCTGTGACAATCACAGAGGAATCAGTTTGACTAATATAGTGTCTAAAATATTAGCTTCAATAATACTTCGACGCCTAATCAAAGCTCGTGAAGAGCATATTAGAGAAAACCAGGCCGGTTTTCGACCTGGACGTGGTTGTATAGATCAGATATTCACACTACGTCAGGTTCTAGAACACAGACACACATTCAGACGCCCCACAATAGTAGTATTTCTCGACCTTAAGGCGGCATTCGACTCTGTTGATCATGAGGTTCTATGGCAGTGTTTGTCACTGAAAGGAGTACCAAAGAAGTACATTAAACTTATAAAGGCTCTTTACTCGAACACAACTGGTAGAGTGAGAGCTTATGGCGAACTGTCATCAGAATTGATCACCTCAAGTGGTGTTCGTCAGGGCTGTCCACTCTCCCCATTCTTGTTCAACTTTGTCATTGACGTACTTTTAGAGATAACACATTCGTTATCTAAATTTCCAGGGGTTGAACTGCTACCGGGAGGTTCACTTGACTTAGAATAGTTTTATTTGGTGAAGACGCTGACAAAATGCAGTCTTCTGACCGCTATAAGCATCAACGCAAACATGTTCAGGATGCGATTCCCCCCTGGAAATGCAAAATGTTGCCTCAGGATTGGGTGGCATCGACACCCGAACTAATGATAGGGAGTGAAGTAGTTGAGCGTGTCGACCACTTCACTCATGTTGGGAGTCTCATCAGCCCTTGGGGTCTGGTGTGTGACGAAATCTCAGCACGGGTACAGAAGGCTCGACTTAGCTTTTGCTAACTTGCGTCATTTGTGGCGTAGGCGAGATATCCGTCTACCAACCAAAGGATGAGTTTACTGTGCAGCTGTTCGTTCCGTCCTACTTTATGGCAGTGAAACATGGCCGGTAAGAGTAGGGGATATTTTTAGGTTACTAGTATTCGATCATAGGTGTTTTCGAAACATTGCTCGTATATCCTGGGACCACCGAGTAAGTAACACAGTTGTTAGGAAACGGGTACTAGGTTAGGATGGAAAATCAATTGATGAAGTAGTGAAACTTCATCAGTTGAGATGTCTGGGGCATGTGTTACGCATGCCCGACCACCGACTGCCCCGACGTACGATTTTTATGGTGTAGGGGTAGGTTTGAAGAAAGCTAGGGGCGGCCAAACCAAAACATGGCACAAGTCCATGAGGTCACCGACAAGTGGACTGAGCCATGCTGGTAGGTGTAGACTACCTGGTTGGGATTCGCTGAACGATAGCAACCGATGGTTAGAGACCTTGAATGATATAGCTCAAAATCGTTTGCAACGGCGCAGGTGCATCCACTCTCTGTGTTCTCCCAATTTTTAATCTTCTGAATTCTCCATGTCCCTTTTTTCCTCTTTCCAAATTTATTTCACTGGATTATACTCTTTAAATAACATCTCCAAACCCTAATCTTCCCGATTACTGCTTATACTCTTACTACCTCTTCCACTACGGAATTTGAGTCGACAACAGCATCTCTGTGCTAATGTGGTGTGTCAACTCGAACTGATGTACGTACGTACGAAGTTCTGCGTTGTTACTGACTGACTGACACATACATGTTTAAGGTACTAACTAACTTACGCCTGTCACCACTCGTTAAGGAGCATGAGCCACTCACCAAAATTCTACATCCAACTCTGTCCTAGCCAATCCTTTCGAGCTCTTTAGAGTTTCATATTCATTCTTTTAGTGTTTGCTTCCGATTCCCGGCACAATGTGTTCTTTGGTCTTCCTCTTTTCCTTTTCCTTTCAGGATTCCAAGTTAGAGGTTGGCTAGCGATGTAGTCTGATGATTTAGGCAATATATATCCTATCCACCTCTAGCGTCTTTTTCTAATTTCCTGTTCAGCTGGAAGCTGGTTTGTCCGTTTCCATAGTGGGTTGCTGCTGACCGTCGGTCAGTGAATATCTTGCATAGACAATTGTTTATAAATACTTGTACCATTTTGATGATGGTTGTGGCAGTAATTCAAGTTTCAGCTCTGTACAGTAGAACTGCTTTGACGTTCGCATTGAAGATTCTGACTTTGATGTTGGCTGACAGTTGTTTTGAGTCCCATATGTTCTTTAGTTGCAGGAATGTCGCTCTTGGTTTGTGGCTCCCTGCCTTCACATTTGCATCAGGCCCTCCCTGTTCATCGATGATGCTGCCCAGATACTTTTAAGGTTGTGATCATTAAAAAATTTAAATTAAGCAATTTTTATTCATCCATCTGATTTCAACCAAAACTTAATACCTAAATACTACAGAACATATAGTTCGCAAACCTATGTCCATATATTTTATGATTTATACTTCAAAATAATGGTAAACGTCCCTCTCCAACATAATAATCAATGTATCTAGATCAAACAACAGGGCTCCAAGTTAATCTTTATGATATAAAACAAGTAGATTTAATCTGAATGAAATTCACACAGCTGAAAACTTATGTAATTTGCTCACTTGACAAGATCACTTAAAAAGGATTACAAAGAAATCTGTCATTTCCATTAGTATTCATATTATTCTTATTCAAACTTCAATTTATGTGTTAATATTTTTGTTCAAATAGTATCTACCAACTAGAGTACTTATGATCAAATGTACAATTAACAGTGAAACTTTAGATTTTTCCGTAATTATCAATTTGTGTGTTCTACTCAAGAAGTTTGTGAACAAAGGATAACATCAATGATTCAAAAGAAATAATTCACGATAAAATGTAAAATTCATAAGATTGCAAGTCAGTGAAGTCTATGATTGAATCATTATTTATAAACTACTAACTATATATTTTAATCATTGAATTACATAATCACTCGTGAACTAAAAGTAATGCAGATTAAGCGTATCTAATTCTATCGACCAAGATGTAGTGTAGTTAATGGTCTAAGTAACTTAGAGTAGTATGCTCTGTTTTTTTATGTAAAGTAATTGCAGAATACTGACTGTAAATTTTTTTGTTTCACCTTAACTTTCAACATATTTTCAGTTGTTCATATACCTTTCGTTTGTTATAGGGAACTATTGAATCACTGTTTTCTAACTTTTGATAATTTGGCTAAACTTATTCAAAATGATCGTGCATTAAAATAAAAGTGAATAATATTAAGTGAACTTACTGACATACAGTGAAAGCCAGTTTTATAAGTTATTTTTTTATAGAAAAAACGTTTTTTGTTGATGTTCAAATATTCAACAAAGATCATCAGTGAATTCAGCTAACGTCATAGGGTTCAACTAGTCTCTGTATTTTCTTTTGTAACTACAGATTCTATCCCTCCGAAAAGTGCGATTGAAAAATAACTACAATAAACTGACGGGTGTTGCAAGCAAGATAATGAAAAACTTCGTAAATAAGGGCGAAACTCAGAAAATCTCTTGTATTACAAACGACGATATACAGTGGTCAATGCCAGGTGTGGCTAAGTTTCAGACATTGTTCAGTGTTTGAGAGGACTATGATAACGATGATATTTGTTATCGCTGCTTATTTTGTAGTTCCGTGTTGATCACCATTTGAGCATTGTGTAATGGACCTTCGTGTATTTTGCCCGTTTAAAACATATTCATAAGATTTAACTCTCATTTCATGGAAAGGTTAAGTGACAGGATTTTGTTAGCCTGAAAATCATATTATAAGCTGGATTTTATTTCATGAGACACGGCCCATGAGTAAATACATCGAAAAGGAATGTTTTGTGTGATTTTTCTGAAGTAATTATTAGACAATATACTTTCAAACTTTGCTGGAGCAAACATTTTGCTCTTTAAGATCAGTATTTTGTTTGTAGAATAAGGGTGAAGAGATCTCAAATATGGAAGCATTTGATAATGAGGCTGTTCAAGACTTTTATTAAGTAGTCTCAAGTCCGATAGAAAAAATGTTCAGGGTGAGTAAGTGGGAAGTTAAGTTTTAACTGTAGGCTTATGTATCATGAACCGTAATATCGGAATTAGCTAGTTGATAGGGGAGGTGTGATGCATGGCATAATAAGTTCTGATATGGTGAGAATGCTTGACTGGGCCACTTCAGATAATCTTGTGTACAATAAAACCATTATGATCACTATTAATGTTAATGACTTACGAAGCTAACTATTTTAGGGATTTATTTACTATTACATGTATCTTAGGTTAAAGTAGGTGTAATTGTTCTTTTAATCCCTGAAGATCCTGAAAAATTAAAACGTCTACGTAAAGTAAAGCATTACTGTAGGGTAGTAAACGGTGCTCATGTATGTAACTATGAATACAAACCGTGAAAAATAACTATATGAATACAGTCACTGGGCGGAAAAGCCAAAAGTCGTTGTAGAACCAAATCTGTCAAAATAAAAGTGTAGGTTAACAATCAAATAATTTGATCTTCCAAAGTCAGATTGACAACAATTTGCACTGAAGATGGCACAGGTATTTAGTGTTTGACAACGCTTTTACCAGTAACACCTTCTAATATGAGTCGTACCCACTAAGAGAAATCAAAAGACAGAATCGAGGAGATCAGAAGTTGTATTTGACGATTGCTAATATATCGGAATTGTCTGATCTAGTCTGGCTAGCGATTGCAGTAGATGTTGAGCACGGCGTTCCCACACGTGATCTGGTGCGGATGCATGACCGAGCGCCTTCAGCCAGGTGAGTCCACTAAAACTAATGTGATCAGCATCCAATGTTGAAAACTTACAGAGCTATTTATTTTGGGGATTTATTTATCGATACAGCACAAGTCTTTTACAACACAGCTACGATAAATTCTCTAATTAGACGCTTAAAAAATACGAACTAGTTACTTGACGAGAGAAGATATCTTCAACAGACTGGGAGTATAATTTTACCGATTTACTTATCTAGAGTAGTGAGTAAAGCAGAATTAAAATGGCTAATCAAACTCAAGAAACGAAAACGATACATGAGGAAAGCGAAATCGCATGTAAAATAGATATTAACAGTTTTACCTAGAACCAAAATGTAGGTAGAATGCAAGAATTAAGGTATCAAGAATCACAACTATCAATGAAGCTGAAGTATTAACAGTAATCGTCTTGTTGAGTCGTACCAACATTGTATCTTTTGGGGTCAACATCTCAAGTATTGTGTCTTTAACTGTAACTATTGTTCCTTCCAGTGCTTTTACAGTCCGTATTTGGAGTTCAGAGTTAGTGAAAATTGCCAGTGGAAGCATAAACGATTCTTATTCTTATTAATGTTACATTGGACAAACGTAGATAATAGTGTAACGAAAAAGCAATTTTACTGCACCGGTGACTGGAACTTGTTATAGTTACATAAATTTGCTTCTGTGACACTAGTTTGTTCACTCTGGTTCGGGTATACGTGATACCTTGCATTTTGTTCTCACTTTGAATGTGAAAACTCCAACAGCAAAAAAGACTTTATTTAGGGTGATACGAAAGCTTTTTGTTTCATAAGACGTACACATGAAGGAAGCTTTACAAGCAAACACAGATGCGAATATATACATACACATGTGCATGCATATATACGTAAAGGACATTACGAGTTGTCTCTCATTTTGAGCGGCTCAGATGCTAAAATACTCCGAGCACTGTGAAATATGTCGGGCCATAGTCATTAAAGTACAGACGATTTCCATTGTTTTCCACGAATTTGATCAAAAAGACTAATAGCTTATTCCCTCAAACTTAGTTGCAAGGTACATTTGTTGAGTAATACTTGATAAAATGATCAAATGCTTGATACCGTGGAAGTCTCTACCTGTTTTTGGGCCGTAACCGTACTCTTCAAGTCTAGAATAGGTTTTTCTTAGCAAGAAACATTGACAAGCGAAGTACTATTTCGCATGTGCCCCAACCAGGCTGCTAAGATTCAAGTGTAGACAGCGTGGGACCATAACGGCTGGGGATAAACTCCACGTTGTCAAGTCACTTAAGTGTATCGTAGTCAGTAGTTGCGGTTGTGTTTTCATTTGTTTAATCGCTCAGTTGTAGATATTTTGTAATAGTTTCTATTACAGAATTAATTAGAGGTATAACCTTTGCGATGTTGTGATTTTTCTTCCATCATAACTTAGTGCTCTACATTGACACGTCCGTAACATGATGATTTGGTATTTTCGTTGTAGCAAATTTTACATTTTCCGTCCAAACTAGAAAAAATGTTAGAGATTGAAAAATGTCATGAATCATGGATTACGACAGTGTAAATAATAATTCCCGCTTCATTTTGGTTGCTTGTCAGGTGCAAGGTAGGAAGTGAGAATAAGAGTGGAGTTTAGCTTCATCCATCATAACCATATTACTCAGTCGAAATTCTACCATTAAGTTTCCCAGTGGTAAATAACCCACTAAAATAAATGGCTTGGATGGAACTTGGTTATGTATCTTGACTATCAGCCACTATGATGCACGTTATATTTTTCTTTTGCTGATCAGATATATTGGCCTGTTCTACACTTACTATCTTCAATATCTGTATTCCGCTTAAGTCATTTGATGGATATTGTTATCAGTAGTACCTGGTATTCTGACATCTCCTTTGCGGAGAAAAGGATTTTAATAATTAGTTACGCTCATGATGGTATGGGTCTTAGTTAAGCGAAAATGTGATAGTATCTAAGCTTGTACGATCAAACCTACGCAGAAAAATTGCTAAAGGACAACAAATATATTAGTTTTTAAATGGGAAATTAGTGCTCACTATTCAAGGGGAGTGTGTTAGCAAGCAGATCACCAAAATAAAATGTTCTCTAAGTCTTCTGCCTTGATGATGACATCATTAGTTTTACTGGACATATCTCTAGATAAAGACACATATTCAAGTATCCAAAAATAGATGAAGCTGGGGTGGTCTATTTCGCACATCTCTTACAACCGATAATAAACTATGATCATATACTTCTCGACACATCATCTATCTTACGAATATTTCTTCGAACCCTTACATTCATGACTTCTGATTTGACTGGATCTGAGAACGTCGATTACAACTGCGTTACGGACAATGAAGTTATTAGGCATTACATATCCGTGACATCTTCCGTGGTGAGCTTGGTCGTAGTCTGGTACGCTGAGAGATAAACTCCTGTCTGTTCCTTGTTATAAAACTACATATACATTTCACATACTATGATGCTGCTTTTGTGTTCTCATGACCTCTTTTCTAACATTCATAAGTTTTATCCTCTTTATGTCGAAGCAAACATTTGAAAATTCAAGGACTAAGTCTATTATGCCTTTCATCTCGCAGCTCATGCCATTACGGCATGACTCTATCGAAGCCCTTTCTCTCATGAAGAAAGCTGACTTCCATGAGCTCGGTATGATCGATAAACTTGCTCAGTTACTCGTAGTAGTGAAGACATCACCCTGCGAGTTTCGCAAGAACTTTAGGCCTGCCACGTTTAATAGTATGTTTATGGACTTTATGAAACTGTGTAAAAGGCCGTCCTTGGACATCAAGACCTAACCAACCGGTAAAAGTTAAGTCAGCGATCTTGGAAAAACGAGTTCTGAGGCAGTTCGGCAACTGAACTGCTGTTACGTATAAGAAAGATCGTTACTCAATAAAATTTTGAAGTATCTCCTTTCGGAAAGCTTTTCTGCTTAAGTTTCTTTAAAAAGTGCAAGCGGTTCTCTTTCAATCTGGAATAATGCTAGAGGCAAGTTAGATCTATCTTACAATCGTATTCTCAGGATCACCCATATCCCTATCACCAAGGTCTGTTCTGTCAAAGAGAAGCCTCAGAGGACTCAAAACGAAACTACAGATTGTTGTAATAATCTCAATCTCGTTGCTAACCTTAAGTAAAATTAATGATTCATTTGTGCTTGATTGCCCGCTGATTGCTTTCTAGTTCTATCTGCCTTAAAGTACACCGTTGTGGGAACTCCTAGTTACTACACTAATTCGATTACTTCTAATCACCACAGGTCTATTTCTAAAGACGCATTTCTGGCAGCCAGTAAGTTAAGGGGTCTAGTAAAACAGACGCAATATGCCATATGACCAAGGTTACATGACACTTATTTTTCAACTTATCATTTAAAAATAATATGTCTCAGATTCTGTTTGCTAAGCATTGGTGATTTTGATTTTTTATGTGTTTACTATAG